GGTACAGCAGGGTGGGGAGGGGAAGGGAAGGGAAGGGAAGGGAGGGGAGGGGGGTGCCCTGAGAAAGAGACGTGATTCCTTATGCTGTTCGAAAGACGTGCGAAGATTTCCTGGCAACCGTTCAGAGAAAAACCCTTTGTCTGGTGAAGTTCGTTTTAGTTATGCAGCTTTCCGCGTTGACATCTCGCTGCTGCTTCTCTTCAAAAAATCCAAAATGATCGTGTGGGGTAGGAGGTTTTCTGAAACGAGGGACTTGCCCTAGATTACTCAGTGAGTGTAATGACTTATGTAATATTAATGGTAGCTGAGAGTTACGAATATCGGAGTGAGCTCTGTTAAGGCCCATTCGGTTGAGAGGCTACCCGTTATCTTCCTGAAGTAGGTATTGAAATCTAGGTCTCTCGGGAGTTCAGTGCCGTCCTCCATAGTAGTTTCTGCACGACTTCGGTATTGAGGAATAAGTAAGCGTGTAAAAGGATGCAGTTTTACCTCGCCCGAACTGAGATATCACCCCCACTCACACATACACACTTTCCAGCTAGATTCGTGGATGAATCGAGGTGACTGACATAGTCTGCCAGTTTAGCAGATAAGGCTCCAATTAGAATTGCTGCTGCTCCATCTTGTGCATTGCTCACTTTTTTTACCTACTCTTTAGGACAACTGGATGGGTAGGCTTTTCATAGGAAGTTATAGCTGCTGTTACTGGGCTTTTTCAAACACAAGGCATGTCAGGGCCTGAAAGACTGATGGGAAAGGATTGTCCTGTTGCTGAGTGAAAAAACTTCCTACCCCAAATGGATCCACCCTGGTACTCCCCTCAGTTTGGGCAGTATAACCTGGAGCTCCTATTTCCTGCTAATTGAGCAAATGTGCACTGTGCAAGCCCTGACTTGACAATACATATTCTGTCTACTACCATAAATGGACTATTGTACATGATTTTCACATTAAGCTGTGACATCTGGGTAATGTCAGTACCTTAGGTCAATGAAAAGCTCTGAATTAATGCTCTGGAATATTCCATAAATGACTAACCACAGTAGCAGAGAGAGATGAGTCTGTCACTGATATCTTAATTTGGATTCTTGCACAGAGCAGAGCAGTTAAGACTCAGTGGCTGAAATGGTTCCTTCCAATTCTATGAGGAGTCATGGAGGAGTTAGGATCAACTGTGTTCTAAGGAAGCTTAGTTTTGGCTGGGGCCCCAAAATGTAGGTGTCTCAGAATAAGGTATTGAATGTCTATGCATGTTGTTTCTACGTGGAGGGACCCAGGTTATGATAGGAAAGGGGAACTGCTGTCAGGGCCAGTTAACCAATCTCCTTCTTCCTGGTTTCATCTTTTCCACAGAACTGCCACTAGCTACAGTATGGAGAGATCCTAACACTATGGGGACCCCAGCCTCTATTACTTGTGACTTGCCACAGAATCAAATCACCAAAAAATGCACTCGAAAGAGAGCATCTGCCAATATTTTCCAGGGGGTGGGGTTACTGCAGTTACGTCGTCTCTTCCATAGCAGTGGGGATATGCAAGCAGAAGAACGAGCCCAACTAGTTTGGGAGCGTGCAGAGAGCCAGTGCATTACTCGGGCTTTACAACAGCTCCACAGAAGGCAGAGAAAACTGAAGCTGCAAGCCAATGTGAGGCCTCCATCTGGAAAGGGCAGTAGTACCAGACTGCTAGAGCTACAACACTTCAGCCACTTAAGGTAAGGTTTTTAAGTTTGCTCTTATCATACTGCTTTTTAAGTACTTACTGGTACTGGAAGCAGAGGCCATAGGCTCCATCCCTTCCCCCAGCAACCTCTTCAGTTGCTTCCAACTAAAAGATTATGAAGATACTTTTATTCCAGTTCACAGTTAATTAATGTATTGTACAACTTTCTTTAGGGGTGAAGGTCAGGATTTATTTAGCTTATTTGTGTGTTTTTTAACTGAAACTTTGTTTTCTGGCATGTGTGCATGTAATTTTTTAAAGGAAACCACATCATTAAGGTATTGCATCCTGCTAAGTCAGCAAATAAAATCATATTTCTATCCCCTCCCATATTATATCCCCAGAATCTACCTATACCATAATCTTCAATTTTACTAGCTCCCAATTCGTATTTCCTAACTTTTGTTCTAATACAGTAGAATAGGTAGTAGGCAATATCTAAAACAAGCTATCTCCCATCTCTTGTAAGTTGCTAAGCTTATTGCCTGTTAGAAAGCAATACCCTTGGTTAGCTGCTGCACTTCTGAAGTGAACCGTTCAACTGGAATCTGATATTTCCAACACCTAATGCAGTTGGTATTGTATAAATATCAAACAGTAATGGCAGTACTTACTGGAAAGAGCTTCTTTAATAGGGATCCCATCTTGAGGCACCTTTTGCTTAAATTATATTCATGGATATTACAGGAGTAACCAAAACAGATGTAGGGATTTTTATAGGGCATTCAGAAAGGGACAACACAGGTTTTAACTCGTATAGCTGAGTAGGTATGTGAATAATTTACAATATTGTAAATCAGAAGAGACAAAGTTATGTGCAATCGCAGGAGGAGAGAAGATGAAGGAATGATAAAATGTGTCTTGTGATGTTTCAACACAACCTCCATCTTTTGGAACTTGCATTGTGATGTCATGTGTGACTACACAAGGGGCAGAGCTTGCATCATAACATCATGACATATTTAACATTTTTGTAATTTTGTTAAATCTGGTCTTGCTATAGACAACCCTGGGCAAGTTATCTCTTCTCCCTTCCCATTGTTAAAGATTTTTTTAAAGAACAGAGTATATCCACTATGGCTAAACAACATGCTGTAAATGAAAAGTAGGTAAACTGACATTTTCAGATGATTTGGATTTTATTTCCCATCAGCTCTAACCAGCATGACCCATGGCAAATTATGGGAGGGGTAATATAAAACATCTGGAGAATACAAGTATGCTTCTGCTAATGTAACAAGAGGGTGTTGAGTGGAAAAGCAATTATATTTTTTTCCCCTCTTTGCTACATTAGCAAACCAGCGTCACAATGCTTTGCTCCCTATTCCTTATTTTGATTGTCTGCTTCTAAGAGAAGAGAACATATTGCAGTTCTTAATGAGACTTTTGTTAACCCACAGGATTGAAGACTGTACTACATCTTCTGCTGATGTTGATGGTGATAGCAGGAAGGAGATAGAGACAGCAGATCAAAGCAGCCATTGCCATCACATTGCTTCCCAACATAGGAAGAAGGAAAAAGAGATGGGTGTGACTACATACACCAATGAAAAATGATCCTATTCTTATGCCAGTGGTTGTGTCTAAGTGTAAACAGACTAGACTGGAGAAGCCTCAAAGGGAGAATATTTGACAAATGATTGCAGGTAACAGCAGAGAAAATTGAAAAAATCTTTTGCTCTCAAGCACTTTGGTTTGCTAATTTAGACTTGATCAGGTTGTTATGTCAAAGCACAAACACTACATATTTTGACTATTTATGGTTATATTTAATAAAGCTTCCTGTCTGAAGACACTCTCTGAATGTAAGAACAGTGCAAATGTCTGTCTAGCCCAGAACTGCTTCCTCATAAGAGATTTCTAGAAAATGCACAAGCAGAATGCAGAAGCATTAACATTTCCCAATTATTCCACATATGCAAACTTACCACTATTCAGAGGTAACCTACATAAACACTCTCTCACGGTTAACAGCTGCTTGTACATTTCTCTTCCATCACCTGATCTACTTTTACAAATCATATATGTTTTAGAGAAACTGATTTGATCATTATGCATTGTGTGGTTAAGTATATTTTGTCTAGCCTGTGAAAGTACATACAGGCTTTAGCATAACAGTTTCACCTCACACCACCAGGTTTCATCTCTTTTTGCCCAGCAGGGTACCAGAGAAAGAGGAGACTGCCCCTGCCAGGGGTCTGGATGATTTACAGGCAGTGTGTCGTATGAAGATACACCAAGGGCTACATCAGTTCTAGAACTGCAGGGTGCCCACCCTTGCCTTAAACAATGTTGAACTGGCAAGGTTTATTTAACTAAAATGTTTTAGTCAATACAGCAAGCTCCAAACATGTTTGCTAACCCATTACAGGTAGAACTTAGAACTAAATGCTTTCCCACTGCCCAAAATACACACACATAATATAAAGGCAAGTACTTCTCTCCTACAACTGCAAAAAGCATCCCAGAAAGCCTATTAAGTCCATATCTATATTCATATGCTTATATTATCACTTGTATAATATATAAAAATAATATAAAAATAAGGCCTTTGGCAAGAAACCCCTTGCTTCATTCAATCTGGTCTGTCAAGCTTGCCATCTTTTAACAATTTATTGTAATTTCTTTAATTGCTGTGAGCCACCCAGCGTCATTGGGAGACAGGCAGCATACAAGTTTAATTATTATCTTTCTCCAACCATCATGGAATCGCTTGTCCTTGTATATAATTAGGTTCACTCAACGTATTAACCCAGGTTAACATAGCATTATTGCTATCTTCATATAACCTGCTATGCCCCAGCAAATAAGCCATATAACCATGATGGCCTGGTTCACAAAAATATAATTAAGTTTCTATAGCCTGCTGAACCACCAAGTACCCAATTGTATTTTAGCCTAGAGTAATGTGTGAATCAGCTTATAAGCAGCTGCTGGGCAAAGCAGATATGAACAGTTACTTTCACTTCACAGATCTGATTGACCTGGCCAAGGAACAATGATGGCAAGTTGTTATTCAAGCACTGCTAAGAAGTTCTGACTTCCAGTGGGCAAAATGTTACACGACTACCTGCTTTACCGCTACAACCCTTTCTGAACTTTGATTATTGAATAATCAAAATTTGAAAGTGTTTCAAGGCTAAACTAAACAACAGCATAGCAAGAAACAAGGCAAAACTGTTTCCAGGAGACAATATACAATTTTGCCTCATGCTAAGCCTAAATGTAATGGTTTCCCTAACACAGGAATATAATCCTGTAAAATCCACTCCATATTTAATATTGAAGTTGAAAAATTGATTTTCAATCACTGTACAAATGTAATGCTATTAGCATAGAATGTGTAATCATTAAGTATCACTTCCAGTCAGGGGCACCAATGATAAAAGATTAGAATACATTATTCATTTTCACAACAGGTGTAAAAGCAATAGGAGGCAGTTTATCTATCTAGTAGCAGTCCCTGCATAAGCCAGTTCCTGCAATCATACTTCACAAATAAACAGGAACAATAAGGAGGGACTTTCTGACAATGCAGGTATCGTAGGCTACAATAATCTGTATGGTAAGCAAAAAACTGTCATTATGTCAAGGCACAGTTGCAGCTCTACTGCATGGTGTGAGGCTAGGGAAGGGGGAAGATCCAGTTCTCATTGACTCCAGAAGACATTAACACACACAAGAGACTGACTCTGCAACAGCAGATCTGTTATGAAGAGACTTGCATTGATTTAAATATATTACATACATTTCTATAGTGCATAAGAACAATACATTTCAGTTCAGACTGGCAAAAAGGTAAAGTATTCCCAAGTGCCAGCTTCTGCCTGGCACTTCTAGCAAAATTCAGGGTGCTGTCTCTCTAGGCAGCAACACCAGACATAAGACAGGCCCTACATTCAGAGTATCAGGGCCTTACTCAGAAGAGGCAGGAAGCTGGAATCAACTTAGCAGGTCTCTTCTTGTAGGCCTGGGAAGCAGCCAAGTCAGCCAACTGGGAAGCTTATATAGAAAATTTCAAATGAGAAATTCTTGTTGCCAGAATCTTAGCACAGTAGCCTATGAGAAGCAGCAATCATTGTACCATTCCACTGTACATAGAACCTCACCTTGGTATGGTAGAAATTCTACCTTTCTCTTACAGCTCTCTACAGCCCTGTAGAGGACATAATGAGGACATCTCCCCATGCCAGCATCCCACAGGGAATTTCCCTCCCTCCCCCCCTCCCCCCACAGATTGTCAATGCTCAAACCAGCCCAATAGAACCTACCACACTGCAGGAAGTGACACACCACCGCACCTGGGATAGGCTCTCTTCTCTACTAAATAAGAC